ATGGGCGGCGGAGAGGGGGAGGAGGGTTCATTAGAATACAAACACCCTCCTCCCGGTGCGATCTCTTCCTTGATGGGCGGGGGAGAGGGGGAGAGAGGGCCTCTAAATACAAACACCCTCCTCCCCGCGTGCGATCTCTCCTTGATGGCGGGGAGAGGGAGGGAGGAGGGTCCTTAAATACAACACCCTCCTCCCCGTGTGCGATCTCCCTTGAGGCGCGGGGAGAGGGGGAGAGATTCCTTAAATACGACACCCTCCTCCCGGTCGATCGTCTCCTTGATGGGGGCGAGAGGGAGGAGGGATTCCTTAAATACAACACCCTCCTCCCCGGTGCGATCCTCTCCTTGATGGGCGGCGGAAGGAAGGGGGGAGGAGGGGCTCCTTAGAATAGCAACACCCTCCTCCCCGGTGCGATCTCTCCTTTGATGGGCGGGCGGATGATGGGAGGAGGCGGACTCCTAAATACAAACACCTCCTCCCTGCGTAGCGACATCTCTCCTTGATGGGCGCGGGAGGGGGAGGAGGGTCCTTAAATACAACACCCTCCTCCCCGCGTGCGATCTCTCCTTGATGGGCGGGGGAGAGGGGGAGGAGGTTCCTTAAATACAAAAACACCCTCCTTCCCGCGGATGCGATCCTCCTGATGGGCATGGGGAGAGGGGGATGGAGGGTTCCTTCAAATACAACACCCTCTGCCCCAGCGGTCGATTCTCTCCTTGATGGGGGGGAGAGGGGGAGGAGGCGTCCTTAAATACCGAACACCCTCCCCCGCGTGCGATCTCTCCTTGATGGGCGGGGGGGGAGAGGGGGAGAGGGTTCGTGAAATACAACACCTGCCTCCCGGTTGGGCGATCTCTCCTTGATGGGCGGGGAGAGGGAGGAGGGCTCCTTAATACAACACCCTCCTCCCCCGCCGTGCGAATCTCTCCTTGATGGTGGGGAGAGGGCGAGGAGGGTTCCTTAAATACAAACACCTCCTCCCCGCGTGCGACTCGATCCTTGATGGGTGGGAGAGGGGGAGGAGGTCCTTAAATACAACACCCTCCTCCCATGCGTGCGTCTTCTCGATCCTTGATGGGTGGGGAGAGGGGGAAGGAGGTTCCTTTAAATACAACACCCTCCTCCCCGCGTGCGCGATCTCATCCTTGATGGGCGGGACGGAGGGGTAGGAGGGTTCCTTAATACCAACCAACCGCTCTCCCGCGTGCGGATCTCTCCTTGATGGCGGGAGTGGCGGCAGGGTGAGGAGGGCTCCTTAAATACAACACCCTGCCTCCCGGCGTGCGATCCTCTCCTTGAATGGGTGGGGGAGAGGGGGAGGAGGCGTCCTTAAATACAAACACCCCTCCTCCCGCTGTGCGATCTCATCCTTGATGGTGGGGGTGAGGGGGCAGGAGGCCTCCTTAAATACAATCACCCTTCTCCCCGCGTGCTGATCTCTCCTTGATGCGTGGGGGAGAGGGGAGGGACGGGCTCACTAATAAATACGACGACCCATCCTCACCGCGAGCGAGTCGTCCTCCACACCTCCCCTCCCCATCCACACTTCTTCTCTGCGATACAGTACTACCAGTCGGCATCTTGGCACCCCTCCTCACTGGCATCCTTCCTCAAGCACCGAGGGTAGGCAACCCTGCTACGCGTCCAGCCCGCTGTACAACAGCCCCCACGGTCCACTGTCGAGAATGCCTCGCCTGTATCACACCACTCCACGTCCATGTAGAAGTCCTGCGCTGTAAGCAACACAGCTCCCACGTCCATGTAGAAGGCCTCGCGTCATCACGCAGCCCCCACGTTCCATGTAAGAAGCCCCGCCTGATACACACCAGCTCCCACGGTCCACTGTTATGAAGCCTCGCTGTACCACCAGCCTACCCACGTCCATGTAGAAGCCTCGACTGTACACACCAAGGCTCCCACGTCCATGTAGGACAGCCTTCGCCGTGTACACCAGCCCCCACGTTCATAGTAGGAAGCCTCGCTGTTACACAGCTCCCACGTCCATGTAGAAGCCGCTTACACCAGCCCCACGGTCCAGTGTAGAGAGCCCTCGCTGTACACACAGGCTGCCCAGTCCATGATAGAAGCCTCCGCATTACACCAGGCCCACGTCCATGTAGAAGCCCCGCCTGTACACACACCAGCCCCCCGTCCACTGTAGAAGCTCGCTGTACACACCAGCCCCCACGTCCATGTAGAGCCTTCGCGTGTACATCCACCGAGCTCCCACTCCAGTAGAAGCCCGTGCCTGGCTGTGATGTGTGAGCCGGCTGGTAACTAGCGAGGGGGCTAGCTATAGAAACAAGGCAGATGGCTAAAGAGTTCTGGGTCGTGGTATCGATATGGAAGCGAAGGAGAAATTGCGATAGAGTTCAGAAGATGGTTAGGATAAAGATTACCTAGCGTAGACACTAGGATTACCGTAAACCTAGCGATAGGATTAGCGTAGGACTATAGTATCGGGGGCCAGGATAAAACTGCCGAGGAAAATGTTGGATTGTGTATAGGTAGACGCGAGGAGAGGCGCGATTATTATTTAGAGATTATGAAATCAAGGTGCGGAAAGAATGGGTTGGGAGGAATGAGAGAAAGCTGAGCGAGAAGAAAGAAACAGAGGAGAGAGGAAGAGTGAGAGAGAGAGAGAGAGAGAAGAATGAGAGAGAGAAGAGAGAGAGAAGAGAGGAGAGAGAGAAGAGAGAGGGAGGGAGACAAGAGACGGAGGTAGATAGATTGACAGATAGAGAAAAAGACAGAGCGATATATATATATATATATATATGGGTAGAGAAGGGGGCAGGGGTTGTTTGGCGCATGGAAGATTATGTGGCAGAGCAGAGAATTATTAGAAGAGAAGTGTGAAGAAGAAGAAGAAGAAGAAGAAGAAGAAGAAGCGTGGTTGTGGATTGTGAATGATATATTATGTGCTAGCATTCATTACATTCCCATCACATCGCTATGACAAATACGTTTGAAGCGTGCTCGCCTTGATAATGCGTCCTATAGTGAAACATCATCCTCTAAATGCAGATAATTACCTCATGAACTAGCGCTCGAGACGAAAATTAAGACTTCTAACCACTAAAGTAATAAATCAGACGCAAGCTTGTGATAATGAGTTCAGGGCTGTCGTTGATTTAGCACGCGGTCACTCGACCCCGTTCAATGTCCGCATCCGTAAAAAGAGCTGAAATGCCTTTTTGCGAGCAAAGTCCGTATATTAGACACGCGCTCGTGGTGCCATGTCGGTTTTTGCCGGCAATCCTTGTCTTGCTTTTAGATCACGTCATATTTTCGCGGATATATGACAAGCCTGTCGGGGGCCTTGATGACCCGATCCTCGCCAGTATTAGTCAGAGCCTCTCTTCCTGGAAGGCATTGTAATGCAAATCGGCACAAATACAGTGTTTATGTTTCTATATGACTTTCGAGGGGCTGATCTTATCGGTGACGTAGTAGGATCAATATTTACGCGTTATGGGTTCCCACGCGCACGAACACACACACACACACACGCACACGCACACGCACACGCACACGCACGCACACACGCACACGCAGTCACGCACACGCACGAACACACACACGCCCACGCGCACGAACACACACACGCATACGCAGTCACGCACAGACACACGCACACGCACACGCGCGCGCACACACACACACACACGCGCGCGCACACGCACGCACACACGCAGTCACGCACACGCATAAGCGGGTTCTATGCCTAAAAATCTATATAGTAGAGCAGCAGGGCCATGAGATCATATTTATGATATAACATGGGATGTTTTACAAGAATAACTGTGAGATTTCGTTGGCAGAGAATTATATTACAGTAAATATATTACGTGTCACATGGGCGAGCATCCAGTCTGCCTTGCTCCTAATTTCTCTGCGCAGCCAAGTACATTCAAACTAACTCTGCTCCGGGCATAGCGAGGGGATTGAATCTACAGGATGGTAGTTTCTCTCCACTCACCTATATTTCCTTCTGAGACCAACTACGCATGGTCCAGCTATAGCGAGTAGAGTGGCCGGCCTGGCTCTATATGCAGTGGCCGCCGTCACCATGGCGAATGTCATGAGACAATGACGCACGTGACAAACGGCGCGGTGTCGCGACGGTGACGTGTTATGTTGTCGCGCGGGTGACGTCGCCAGCCGCGCTGTCAAGCTAATGAAAGCACATCACAGGTCGCTGTTATTTTTATGCCCATTCGTGCCAATCTTCGACCCCCCCTCGTTCGCCAGTAATGAGTGCCGTAACTTGGCCCGTCGTTTCCCGCACCTGTACGATCGCCTGCGCGCTCGGGGGGGGGGCCAGCGGCGATTCTCCGCAGTCATTTTTCTTCCTTGTACCGACGTTACGGGCGTGCGCATGCACGTACGTAGTCGCTGGGCCGGCCGCCGCGCGACAGCAGAATCAGCTAACTACACGGCCGTGCCCCCTGCTCAGCGTGGTTCGCCCATGCTCGTAACCCTTTGGTTACGGATGGATGCCCGAGGCAGACAGATGTAGCGGGCCGGCGGTCACGTGACGGCGGCAGGCAGCCGACTGGTTGCATAACCGTGCTATGAGCCGGAGGGGTAGCAGGGTGCTAGCGAGCATCTTGCCTGTGTGCTGGGGGATGAGCTGCGGTTTGACAGCGATAGTCTATTAGTCGGCTCATATCTACGTGTGTGTGTGTCGGTGGGAATTATCGAGAGAGCGCGAGAGAGAGAGCGAGAAAGAGCAATAGAGGGGAAGGGTAGAGAGATGAGCAAGCGAGACTGAGATTGAACGCTGGTAGTGCATACGGAAGGGAAAGTTCTACGCAGTCTCCGTGCTTGCACGCAACAGGACACCGGTTGTCATCATCGTATACTCGGATAGCATTACCCGTGCTGGGATTGTCAACTGTCGCCAGACGTTGACACGTTGATTATAGTGTCGTCCGTGCGTGCGTTCGTCCGTGCGTGCGTTCGTCCGTGCGTGCGTCCGTGCGTGCGTGCATGCGTGCGTGCATGCGTGCGCGCGTATGTGTGCATCTGTATATGGATTCTAACCGTGGTGTGTTGCCGTGTAAGCATGGAACAGCATCAGGTGAGCTACTGCTACTGCTAGTCGTGTCTGTTTCTTAGCGGGTTTTGGTTCGCATAAATTTTCAACGCTTCTGATTTTATGCCTAGTCCACCGAGAATCGATCAGATTTAATACGCGGATATTGATTTGTGTTGCTTCAACGTGTTAACGGCAGTGTTTCGGTTTCGATCGGTATTACTGTACATATTAAAATGATGCCACTCGATTACATTACCGAATCGAAATACGTTTTAGTGGTTGCTATTGGAAACTTGAGTTTTTCATTTATATAATATAAATTGGGTGGCCCATATTAATTTATAATATAAATCGGGTATAATATATAAATTATATATTATAAAAGTGGGTGGTGTACGCTGTAATAATTTTCAGTGTGTCAATTCGCATAAATGTAAACTTTTTTATTCGGTATTTCAGTTTTTCGGTATTTTTATTCGTTTTTTAAAGATTTTATTTGTAATCATTCGCTAATACTGGTAGTGGGAAGCGATTTCTTATCGAGTCATAGTATTAAAATTTTCAACATATAAATTACGTATTTGTTTGATAGAATTTCCATTTTTTTTGTATTCGTTTTTGGTTTTATCGATTGCAAGGAAAAATGCTGAATATATTCCCTTCTATCGTGGCTTTCATTAGTTACGAATCAAATATGTAGGACATTAATATATTCATGCAGTACTGCATCGTTGTGTTTCGGTGATTTATTAAGAAAATTGGTGGAGAATAAGCGTATCATGAGAAATATATTCATTAATTGAAAATTCAGTAATGTATATTTGCTTCCTGGCGCCATTAGATATGATACGCAGTCAAGTGTGCTGCTTTATTTTCTGAAGGCAGTGAGCATTGCGAGAAGTACAGTAAAATTCCGGCGCTATATAATCATGTGATATAAAATAACATCAAATATCTGCTAACATAGCCCGAATTGGGGGTTCGTCTTGTTGACCTTATACGGAAGAAAGCTAGTCTCACCTCCGCAAAAACAGGTTATCAATTTTTCCCTTTTTTTTTTATTTCACTCGGTGTTTGTCGGGGACAGTTATAAATCTACAAGGATAATTGTCGGATTTGTCGCGGACAGTCAATTAAGATGGTCAGTTTTGTTCGTTGAAATTATCAGAATTCCTTCTCGAATCGTCTAAATTCTGCGAAGTCGCATGTTTTCTCGTTTCATACGGATAATCGTAATTAGCTTGATACGGTGTGGTTTGCGCTACGTGTGTGGCCATTATTTCATTTCGTCGGCAAAATGAAAAACCAATTTATTTTGCCTAAAGATTCTCGCGTAAAACTTTTAACGAATGCGAATATTATTGTGAGAAAATAAACTGCGCGCGTTTTTGTGTGCCGAAATAAAATTGATGCGATTGTAAAAGTGTGTATGTGCCCTGTGCTGTGCTGACACAACAGCCACCCAGCACCCAAGACAACCTGTTGTGTGTGCCTTGATTTTGTGTGTGTGTGAACGACAACATAAATAACCAAAAATTGCCCCACCCCACCCACCACGACCCAACAACCACAACCAAAGGAACTGTGTGTGTGACACGCACAAACTGTGTAGAATGTGTGACCCGCATGACTGTGCAAACCTGCAAACCATTGAAGGTGTCTGAACAATGTGTTCTGCAACAACAACAAACACACACATGGTACTGTGATGATCTCTTGTCGTGCGTTGTGTGTGTCTGTGTGTGCGTCGCGTAGACCCGTTGAAAGGCGACCGTGTATGAGCATAGTGTGATGTGATCGCTCGCACGCACCAACCCAAACAAACCTGATGGTGTGTGTGTCTGTGCACCCAACTGATGTGATCCGATGAGAACACCCTGTTGCGTGCGTGCAGTGCGTTGCTCGTGCGTTGACAAACAAAACACAGTTCCCACAACCAACGACCAAACACAAACCGGACTGGCCCGCATGCTGGGCCGTGCGTGGCAGTGCAGTGCGGCGATGTATGTGTGACAATATGTGCATGAGTCTGCTGTGTCTGTGTGCACTGTGTGTGTGTGTGTGTGTGAAAACGACGATGTTGAGCCAACACAAAAAAACACACGACACCACAGTGTTGATGCTGTAGGTGTGGCAGACCACCCACAACAGCAACCAGGACAACGAAAAGCATGTGACTGACTACCTGTGTGTGTGCGTGTGAAGTGTGAGGACGCCCACATACACACAAACAGCTGTGCGATTAGTGTCTGAGTGATGTATATAGTCGACGTGGTGTACAGCGTGAGTATGCGTAGTGTGCGTGTGTGCGTGGTGCATAACGTGTGTGTGCGTTGAACAGTGTGCGTGCAAAGACCGAAAACAAAAGTAGTTAGCTGTGTGTAGAGATGTGTTGTGATGGTCTGTGAAACAGCCGACACAACTGTGTGGATAGTGTGTGGGCGTTGTGTGAGGCCCGCACAAAGGGCACGGAGCAGCAAACAATGATTATCTGACTTGGGTGTTGACCCACCCGCGCGCACAACACGGACAGGGCGCCGGGCCCCACCCTGCGACCCCCGCCAGCGCCACGGATGGGCCCCAAAGACGCGTGATGTGCGTGCACAAGGCCAGGCGAAAGGCCCACATCCTGTGCTGGTGTGTGTGATGTGTCGGATGTAATGTGTGTGGAGACCCGCACCCAACCCCAAAAAAGAACGTCGACGGTGTGTCATGCTCTTGGGATGTGTGAGCACAGGGAAAAAGAAAAAATGTGTGATGTGTTGGGTGTAGAATGAACCAGAGAAAACAAAAAAAATAAAACCACCGGCACAACCAGCAAAATGTGTTGTGTGTTTGTGTGTTTTGTGGGCGTGTTGTGCGTGTGTGCGTGTGTGTCTGTGTGTGCGTGCGTGTGTGTGTGTGTGCTCCTCAGCCTGTGTGTGACGCGATGTGATGATGGATGTGTGTGGTGGTGTGTGCTCGCTGTCGTCCCACCGGACGACTGTGCCGCCGTCGGCTGCTGTCTGTCGCTGCTGTAGTGTGTGTGTGGTGTATGTGCACTGTGTGTGTATGTGTGGTTGTTGCCATGTGTGTGTGTCTGTGTGTGTCTCGTTGTGCGTCGCCGTGCCGTGCTCATGGTGTCGTGTGTGTGTGTGCTCTGTGTGCTGTGTGCGGTGGTGTGTGTCTGCTGCGTGTAGTGCGTGCGGTGTCATGGTGCTGTGTGTGTGGTGTTGTTTGTGTGTGTGTGTGGTGTGTGTGTGTGGTGTGTGTGTGTGTGTGTGTCTTGGTGTCGTGTGATGTCTTGTGTGTCTGCGTGGTTGCGTGTGTGTTGCTTGTGACGTGCGTGTGTGTGCATGAGTGGCGTGCGTTGCGTGCGTACGTTGCGTGCGTGCGTACGTGTGTTGCGTGTGTGCGTAACGTCGCGTTGCGTGCGTAAGTTGTGTGCGTTGTATGAGTACATTGCGTCGATTGTTGTGCACCGTGGTGACGTGTGTGTGTGTCGATGCGTGTGTGTGCATGGCGTGCGTGTGCGTGGTATGTGTGTGCGTGGTGTGGTACGTGTGTTGCGTGCTTGGTGTTGTGTTGCGCAGTTACGTGCTACGAATTGATGCGACAATTGCCATGCACAGACCGCTATGAATCTTTTAATATTAGCGCCTGGTGTACTGTTGAGTGCCTTACAAAATAATTGTTGACGTTAATAGTGCCCAAGAAGACGATCGTATTTCCTCCTTTCCATTTATAACTACTGAGTACTGTAATAATCACCAGGAACACGTTTACAGTTATATTATATATATATTAATATATATATATATAATATATATATATAATATATATAATATATATAATATATATACCACGCAACACAGACACACACACACACACACACACACACACACACACACACACACACACACACACACACACACACACGCATACACGCACATATATATATTGTTTTAATGGGTTCTTGATAATATCAAGAGTACATAATAGAGATCTATCATAATATCTATATCAATCACTAGCTCTGGTCCGTGAATAAATTGTACCCATATTTTAAGAGGCAGCGAAAACTTGTGCCGTATTTTATATAGACATCCCGTTCGCTGTAACTGTTTGCATTTCCTGTCTTCGCGTTTCGCTGTAGTACGTGTTAATTCACCAGACAACTGTTATACGTAACGCAACTATCAGCGTATACATCACACATCACCACCTGCGATGATGACCACCTCCGTAACTCGTTCTCATATATGCGAGGGAGGATCTTGCTATACTTAGGTGGTAGCAACACCTCACCTGTACTCTCCCTTCATCTGTGATAACGGCGTACCTATGAGTCGCCCTCGTACGGGATGGCCACACCGCTAACATATCTACATTTCGTAGCAACATTTCACCTGTTTTCCCGTGATAAACCCCTCTCCGTACTCATCCTCCCGCAGTCCTACGGACCAGTGTAGCTACTAACGCACGATGAATTTTACCTGTTATAGCAAGACAGGACTGCCGCCCTTCCTTCGGAAATAAACACCTATCCTAAAATAATTTGGGAGTAATAGCATCGTGTCGTGAATCGGATCATAATTAAATAATAAAATCATAAGTCATAGTATATCAAATCTTAAGTAATAGAATCATCGTCATTAATATGAGGCGCTGTCCGAGACATTGTATATCTATCAGTGATCGATGATTATTTGTTCCTGGTTATTGGATAGGTAGCAGGATTAGGTAACGACTACCGGGTATGCTTGTGTGCTCCTGGTTGTGTAGTGTTAATAGCAGAATGACCCCTGACATGCGTGTGAGCATGTTTGTTTGTGTGTGTGTGGGCTGAGGCAGTCTGTTCCTTAAGAAATCCTTTTTAATCACAGACCTGTCAAAATGTAATGAACACGGAAATGACAACGGCATAATTGGGTGTCTTCATTCTCCGCCACGCCCATGGTTTTAATCATGACAAAAACCTTGTCCTACGTCCAAGAATTAGGTATGAAATAACGAGTTGTTAGCTGTGGCTTTTGTGTGCACTATAATTAATTGATGTGTTT